TAGTAAAGGGATAGTAATAGCACCTCCCTCAGAGGGTGGGCTGGGTTTTAAGTGAATGAATATAAGGTACCGAGAACAGTGCCTGGCTCCCACTTAAATGCTCACCACGCTTAGCCACTGATGGGGCACCAGTCCCCCCACTTAGCTCATGGGTGCCAGCCCCTCCCATCAATGTGTCTCTAGCCAAAACATAACTTCCCCACTTCACTTTCTCTGTGCACAAAAATGCAAGAGTCTCCTAGAGAATGATATTCATTAAGACTCAATAATAATATTTTCTAAGCAGAAGCATGTGAAACACCAAAGCACTACTGTGACAGACACTGTGGAAACACCTGTGGTTACTTTGGTGTCTTATCGCCAATTTCACTCCTAGTTGTTTCAGTAACAAGTTGGAACTGAGACATTTGACGAACTAGAAGGTGTGAGGAGCCGTGTCAAAACCATCTGAAAATTCATGCTTAATTAATAAATCACTTAAATTTTCAAATACTGAATTTTGCCTAGATTTTAGCATTTATGAAATATTTAATTTATCCTGATTTTCTCCCTTATCCAATTTTCCCCATTCCTTTAATTAACGACAAATGTCCCTTAAATATAGGATAGTTTATCTAAGTTTACCCTATTTGTAAAGTTCACTAAGTTACCCTATGTAGACTACTTTGAAGATGAATAAAATTCAGATTAAAATTAAAACATTATTTCAAAAACCATCTTAAACTCTCTCAAAGACCTCCTTCATTTAGGGCCACTCCATCATACTTACCTAACGTCCAGGCCAAGTAGTACTTGGGCTTTGAGGCTTGCATGACAACATATAAGTAGCCCAGCCGTGTCAGAAAGTTTGCCTTATGAACAAACCAGTCATCAGCCAGGCTGGTGACCGGGAAGGTCTTCGTGAGCGTCAAAAACAAAAGGAGAGACACGCCGGTCACGCACAGCTTGTGGATCACCGCTCCCTGAAATGAGGAGGGAAAGTCAGTGGGATCGCTCAGAAGATTCTGTAGGAGGAAGACAGTTTGACGAGGGCCCGTGGAGAACAAAGCTGTTGGGATAGCTGCTCTGGCCACGTTCCCTGACAGAGTGGTGACAGGCTTTTTTCCTCACAGCACAAATGGCATGACGGGCACGGTGCTCTATTTAGATGCAAAGCATACTTCACACTTGAGGACTGAATGCATCTAAAATGGAACAAAACTTTTACCAGCAAATTCTACCAACGAAGGGTAGATGGTTTCATTACCCAAAACATAAGAGAAACAGGTACTACAGGGTGGCTGTCTTCCATTCAAAAGAAATAGTCATTTGCCTTCCACTTCTGTAGCCAGCAGCCAAGGAAATGGGTTTGAATGGCCGGCAATGAGGATAGAGCTTAGTTCGGAAGATTCTGTGCGTGTGAAGGATAAATGTAGCCTGTTCTTGGGTTAAGATGTACTGTCATTTTATTTTATTTTGCTAATCCTCACCAGAGGATATTTTTTCCCCAGTGATTTTTACAGAGTAGAAGGTTGGAGGGGGAGACAGAGAGAGAAACATCGATGTGAGAGTGACACATGGGCTGGTTGTCTCCCGCACACCACCCCAACCAGGGCCAGGGACCGAACCTGCAACCCAGGTACATGCCCTTGACAGGAATCAAACCTGAGACCCTTCAGTGTGTGGGCCAATGGTCTAACTACTGTACCACACCGCTCAGGAAATGTACTGACATTTTAAATTCCTCTGGATGGAGTTATTTTGCCCAGTTTGCCTGGCATTCCAGGGAATGTCATTTAACATCAACACAATTATAATTCCCAACTTTATAAAAACAGACACCTTAACTATAGTAAAGGGATAGTAATAGCACCTCCCTCAGAGGGTGGGCTGGGTTTTAAGTGAATGAATATAAGGTACCGAGAACAGTGCCTGGCTCCCACTTAAATGCTCACCACGCTTAGCCACTGATGGGGCACCAGTCCCCCCACTTAGCTCATGGGTGCCAGCCCCTCCCATCAATGTGTCTCTAGCCAAAACATAACTTCCCCACTTCACTTTCTCTGTGCACAAAAATGCAAGAGTCTCCTAGAGAATGATATTCATTAAGACTCAATAATAATATTTTCTAAGCAGAAGCATGTGAAACACCAAAGCACGACTGTGACAGACACTGTGGAAACACCTGTGGTTACACTTTGGTATCTTATCGCCAACTTCACTCCTATGTTGTTTCAGTAACAAGTTGGAGCTGAGACATTTGACGAACTAGAAGGTGTGAGGAGCCGTGTCAAAACCATCTGAAAATTCATGCTTAATTAATAAATCACTTAAATTTTCAAATACTGAATTTTGCCTAGATTTTAGCATTTATGACACTAAAACCAAGCTTTGGGCAGTGTAAAACTGATTTCCCTGGAAACAAGCGGGTTCTCCAATAAAAAGCACATTTATTCTGGTCCCCACTTCCTCCCCCCACCACTACCTTTTATGAATATTATCCTTTGGCTGTGTATTAATTTATATTCATAAAGACAAAACTCCCATAAATTTGAATGTGTTAGCTAGTACAGTACTAAGAACATTGTGGGCACTAAATATTGGCTGGTTGACTAATGGATGGATTGCTTTAATATTCCCAGCCAATGACCAGTTCTGTGAAATAAGCATCTGTTTCTCCAATACAGAAAACTGCAAATAAATACCAGTATCAGTATTTTAAACAAATGGAGGGAAAAGTTATTGGCCAAACTTTCTGTTAAACAGCTTGGCTTTTGAATTAGAACAATTATTAGTGAGAGTCAGCCCTGGCAGCAAAACTTAATACTTGGGGCATCTGGGTAAACACTTGGCACTAAAAACTTACAGTGGGAGAAGGTTCTGGCAGGCTGTGGGAACCTTTTTCCTTCCAGTTCACTTCCAGCAGCTTCATGTGTACATGTCTCCCCTCGATGAAGGCTATATAGTCCTTGAAGTTGTTACACGGTCCAGCTATGACACTCATGAAGTTGAGAAGGTAGCTTAAGTATTCCAAAAAAGAGGGTTTTACTCTGTGAAAATAGAGTTTTTTTTAAAAAGGTTGAAAAGTATTCAGTCTTTAATTTTTCTTTCATATTTTCAAATAAGAAAATCGTAAACACAAGTGTTACCTTTACAGTTTATTAAACATCACAGGATCTTTCCTTGTTCTGTTTCTCTAAAATTCGCCTAAGAGAAATCTTGTTGAAAGGAAAAGTTAATGAGGTGAGTGGCTCAGAGAGGAGGCAGCACTCCATGGCGCCCTCTGCTGGCTGGTCACTGCTATAAGCACAGAAGGTGGGGCCTAGAGCAAAGGCAACTCTGAGGGTGGGAAATGCTTTCTCATCAACCTTAGCCCTCTACAGGAGAAGGTGAAAGTAATAAACATAAGGGGTCGGGGGAGGTGGGGAGGATCCAAACCTACTGTTAGTTGATTGAGATGCTTTCAAATAGCAAAACTCCCTCCCAATTACTAAAATAAACACAAAACAAAGGATGGGTGGAACCAGTTTCTACCTGAAGAAGCCACACAAAAACACCACTGTAACAGTCTCTTGTCTGCTTTGGCATCCAGGCATGAGGTCAATAGACAAGGGTAGCAGCAGGGAAAAGAGTCTGCAGGAGCCATTGTGTGTAGTCCTTTCATGGCATTTGGAGGGGCATGCTCTTCCAGCAAGACAGAATTGTGGGGAAAGGCTTCCTAAAATGCCATTGGTGACGAGTCACTGGGGTTATGCCTATAGCACTTACACACCCATAATGCTCAGCAAAGAACTTGACTCAGTAGACTCTTCCAATGATCTTCCATTGGTTCCAAGTCTCAAATTCTTAATGAAGAAATGAGGCACTCAATCTCCTTACCACCTGGAACCCTCTCACTCCTCCCAGTTATCTCCTCCTACTACTCTCTAGTAGGAACTCTAGGCCAGGGCTGCACCACCATCCCCAATATGCTACCCCACATGCCATTTCTATTTTCATATGCTATTCTCCTACTTTGCATAGCCTCCTCCCTCTGGAACACCCACCCCCTTTCTACTGCATGTCAACACTGGCCAAAGTCCACCTTCATCAGCCTTCCTCCTTCCTCCTCTCCCCAGCCAGTATTTCTCCCTCCAGCTTTACCTCCTATGTTTTTTTCATGCCGGCATTTAATCATACTAATTTGCATTGATAACTGTTTCTTGAGGACCTGAGACACATGCCCCATAAAAATAATTCTGGAATAGACATAACAACCCCAGTGAAGGAGAATCCTGCAAAACTACAAAATCACAGATCCATTTACTCTCTGGCCCAGCAATCCCACTTCTGGGAGTCGATCCTACAGCTTTACCCAAACCCATCTGAAATGACCTATGGACAAGGCTATTCATCATTTACCATTTGTAAAGCCAAAGATTGGTAGACACCCAAGTGTCCATCAATAGCAGATTCATTAAATAAACAATATTACATAAACATAGTGAAGCTCATATGCAAATACTTTAAAAAATGAATATCTCATCCTGGCTCAGTTGGTTGGAGCATTATCCTGCACACAAAAAAGGTTGTGGATTCGATTCCCAGTCAGAGCATATAAGAAAGGCAACTTATTGATCTCTCTCTCTCTCTCTCTCTCTCCCCCTCCCTCTTTCTCTCATCCTCTCCCTTTCTCTATAAAATCAGTTAAAAATATATATATCCTCAGGTGAGGATTTTTAAAAAATGAAGATCTCTACATACTGATATACAAAGCACTCAAGAATATACTGTTAAACTTAACTTACTTTACAGCAAGTCGGTGTTGTTCAGCAGACAGGTCTTCAGCTCTTCGGCCTAGTCCTATGAGAAAGAAAACATTTAGAAATGTTTTCAGTGAAGTCGATAACTAATCTTAAGAGAAGCTTATAAAACTCATCTGAAAAAAGTGATTAATTATTGTTTCATAAATCAAAGCTTTCCTTTTTTTAAAAAATGCCCTGGATCAAAGCACTACCCCACAAGTCCATGTGTAAGGAAAGTCTCTACAGGTTCTTATGAAGAGGGGAGAATTCAGGGGCTACTCTAAGTCGATTCACACAGTAGGACATGGATCACAGAGCACCCTCCACAACTCCTACACTCCTTACTATGCTGTATATGCTTTTGTTGCTACATGAGAGACATAAGCCTACCTTTGCAGCCTACACCATGTAAATACCTCTCTGAAATGCTGGGTGCAGACACCTGGTACAAGCTGAGAGCATGGGTGTGGAATGTAATGAGGAAAGAAATAGGGACTTTTCTCTTCCAAAACACAGGAAACATAATCCTGATGCAGGTTAGACACAAAAGAATTCTTGGGAGGTTTTACTTCTTTTAAAATTCATCCATGCCAGAAAAACTCCCAACCAAATCACATCTGTGCTTCCCATAAAATGTACGTTAACTGAGTGTCAAAGAGACTGGAGGGTCATCTCATAAGCATCAGAAATTTCAGAGGGAAAAGGGGAGGGGGCAGGAAGAATTTAACCAAAGAACTTATCTATATATATAAAAGCCTAAGCGGCCATTACAACCAAATGAACGGAATGACCGGTCGACCAGTTGCTATGATGTGCACTGACCACCAGGGGGCAGATGCTCAACGCCGGAGCTGCCCCCTGGTGGTCAGTGTGCTCCCACAGCGGGAGCGCCACTCAGCCAGAAGCTGGGCTCATGGCTGGGGCTCCTCCCTGGCCTCCTGCAGCTTCGGCACTGCTATATCCCTGGGGCGGGAGGCGGGGGATGTAGAACTGCTGGGTCCTGGATTGCAAGAGGGTGCAGGCCAGGCTGAGGGGACCCCACCCATGCACAAATCCATGCACCAGGCCTCTAGTAAGTACATATACATAAACCATGGACATATACAACAGTGCAGTGAAGGCCTCAGAGGGGGAGCTGGGCAGAGGGGGGTCAATGGGGGGAAATGGGGGACATCTGTAATACTTTCGATAATAAAAATAAATTTTAAAAAGTAATTGTATATTCAGCTAAGACTGATTGATACGGTCACCAATCATAAAGGCAACTCAGAAACAAGCCTAAGAGAAGGGAGAGTGGTTCCAGAATTTACTTCTTCCTCCCACACACAAGAGAAAAAGACAAAGGCAAACAAACATTTTTCTGTATGTAAGGGATGTTCCAGAAAATAAACTGAGAATGCTTACAAAAGTAAATTCAGGCAAAAAGCCTGTATAAAAATACAAAAGTAAACTAAACAAAAAAATGTAAGAAGCAGTGTTTTTTTAAAAAATCACTCACTTTTTTCTACAACCTCATCAGATAGTACAAATCTGGCAATCCCAGAAATTAAAGTGATTTTAGTTATTGATTTATGTTGCAGATGTTAGTCTATAACCGCTACCAAGTAGATTTTCAGGTACAAAAACACTAACCAACTCACCCTGGTTTACTCAGGACTTTGTCAATTTGGGCACTAAAAATCTCACATCTTAGGAAACCTCTCAGTTCTGGGCAAATCAGGATAATTATCACCCTAGAAAGATTCCATCCTCGGTATAAAATTACCCAGTTCTCTACAGAATGACTAAGTCACTAAGTATGAATGAGAAACACACAGAGTCAAAATGAAATTGGTTTCCAGGCTTTAAGGGAAACAAGAAAACTAGCGGAGACTGTAGAGCTCAACCTGTCAACACATAAAGATGTTTCCGCCGTCAGAAAGCATTTGCCAAAGAGGAACAAATCCTCAGATTATCCTTTTACTAATTGCACGTGGCATCCTTAAGCCCATCTTCCGGCCAGTGAAAGTGCCATTCTCCTTCCCTGAGACCCAGGTTTAACAGTGGAAATAAAATTTTCTGACCATTTTTAGAAAGAGTTTAAGTAAAGAAAATGTCCATTTTTTATACAAAGAGAAGAGCTTCCTCTCCCAGCTTTTTGTAGGGTCAGGCTAATCTCATTAGATAATTGTCCAAGCAAAACAAACAAACAAAAAACCTAGCATTAAAAATTGGTTAACCAGCCAATGCTGTTTAATCTTTTATTACCTCATGAGCTTCTCAGAGATTTGAAAATGAAGGGCAGAGAGTACCAAAAGTAAACAGAAAACCCACTGTTCTCAATGCAAATATTTCAGCAAATTTAGGCTACAGATCCAGGAGGGAAATGATAAGTAATAGCTGGGAAAGTTAAAAGCTATAATTTAAGAGGCCTACAAATTTTGGACAAGATATAGCAAGATCTTCCAGCACTTGTCTAACTTGGGACGGTGTACAGAATATGGAAAATGTCAGGTGGACTCAGAGCAAGGATCAGGGATGTTTTTCTCACCATCATGAACTTGGAATGCCAAGGTTGTGATCTTCTGAGTGACAATCATCAGAGGCCTAAAAGGAAGATGGAAAACAATCAAGATTAGCAAAAGTGCCACTGCAACTTTTATTCTCTTTCTCTACATCAGGGGTGGGGAACATCCAGCCTGCGGGCTATATAAGGCCCACAAAATCATTTGTTCTGGCCCTGCCCAGGCATTAGGGGTGAGTTAATTAAATGTTTGACAAATATAGCAGGCTAATTGTTAAGTTCATAATTCTGTATGGCCTGGGAATGATGTTATAAGTATTCAAATGGCCCTTGGCAGAAAAAAGGTTCCCCACCCCTTATCTAGAAAGTGAAAAGGCATTTCACAGAATGCATGAAAATGTGTGTAAATCATGTATCTGTAAGCTAGAATTCATAAAGAACTCTGACAACTAAATAATTAAAAGACAACCAATTTAAAAATGGCCAAAGGATCTGAATAGACATTTCTCTAAAAAAGATATACAAATGGTGATAAGCACATGAAAAGACATTCAACAGTGGCTAGTTATAAGAGAAATGCAAATCAAACCACAATGAGATACCATTTCTCAAGCAGTAAAAGGACTGGAATCAAAAAGACAGATAACAGGTGTTAGCCAGGAGGTGGAGAATTGCAACCCTTGTACATTGCTGGTGGGAATATTAAAAGGTGCAGCTGCTTTAGAAACAGTCTGGCAGTATCTCAGAAAGTTAAACATACAGTTACCATATGACCAAGCAATTGCACTCCTAGGTACATTCCCATGAGAAATAAAAATATGTCTACACAAAAACTTGCACACACATGTTCAGAGCAACATTATTCATAATAGCCCCAAAGGAAATTACCCAAATATCCATCAACTGGTGAATGGATAAATAAAATATGCTATAAATATTATTCAGTAATAATAAAGAGCTAATATGCTAATTAGACTGACTGAACAGCAGAACAACCATCCAGACAACCTTCCGGACGACCTTCCGGAAGACCTTCCGGAAGACCCTCCGGATGAAGCCGGGGCTGCGAGGGCCAAGCTCCTTGCACGAATTTCGTGCATCGGGCCTCTAGTTCAGTAATAAAAAGAATAAAGTACTGATACATGCTACAACATGGATGGACCCTAAAAACATACTAAGTAAAAGAAACCAGACACAAAAGGCCACATTTTGTATGGTTTCATTCATATGAAATGTCTAGAACAGGCAAATCTACAGAGAAAGGAAGTAGATTGCTAGTTGCCTAGACTTGGGGAATTGGGAGAAAATGAGGAGTGATAGCTAATGCATACAGGTTTCTTTTGAGAGCAATGAAAATGTAAAATTAATTGTGGTGAATAGTTTTACTCTATAATTTACTCGGCAAATATGCAAAAAAAACCCCACTGAATTGTATACTTTAAATGGGTAAATTGTATGGTATATGAATTGTATATCTCAACAAAACTACAATTTTTCAAATACACCTGTTTTTCCAATCATCTACCCTAGTTTAGTATTTTTAGTAGCTCTGTTCTTGCCCAAGACAAGATAAAATCCCACTGCTCTAACCACCATCGTTTCTTTCAAACCTTCTTAATTAATCCTGGTTTTCTGATCTCCTTCTACGGCTTCTTACTGAATTGGTAACTCTGACCCCCAGGGACTGATGCCTCATTTATATGCAATGCTGAGCCCTAGCAGTGTCCCCGGAAGGACCCTGGGATGCCACACAGCCTCTGTGCCCTGAGCTCAGGCCAGGCCCAGGTGTGTGGAGGATGGAATTGGACACAAATGTGATGTGTGTCAGCTGCACTTAGCCACTACTTTGAGTCCATCTTCCTGTTTAATGCTCCTCATTCTGATGCCCACTTTCCATCTCTTTGACATAATAAGCATGGTATATTTTAAACTATCAATGTAAACTGACAAGATAAAGCATTTTCAAGAAAGTACGAAGAAATACACTTTGAAATCTTAATACTTACACCCAGCATTATATCTCATTTGCAAAGCCCCGTGTCCAATGGCCAATGTTTGAAACAAGATTCTGAATGCTGCGTATAAGGCTAAGAGATGAGTGAGTCTGACTGGGGAAGGGAAGGGCACCTGTGCTCCGCCGGGACTGGTGAGAGGAAGGTGTGGCACACAGGGGAGCCACTGAGGTGGATGTGCTCAGGCAGCAAGACGTGCTCAGAGCTAACACTGAGGTGACGACTCTCTTTTATATTGGAAAAAAAAATAGCTGCCTTTCCAGAACACTGGGAGTTGGGTCTCAGAAATAAAGGCTCCCCGGACGCTTCCTAGAAGATCAAATTGATCTTACAGACCAGACCAGTGCAGCTCACTACTTGATATTCAATGAGGCCTTTGACCCACCATGTCTAACAGATGCCAAGAGCTGTTTTTCTTGAGAGGGACTCACTTTAAGCATCACAGGGAAGGTAGTTTCTAATGTGACTTTCAAAGCAGTACAGTTTTCTTTCTAAAGCCTTTTGTCTCCTGCAAGATTAAAAATCCCTCTCTTCCTTGCACAAATCCCAGTACAAAATTTTTATTATTTTTTAACATATTTTTATTTACTTCAGAGAGGAAGGAAGAGGGAGAGAGAGGTAGAAATATCAATGAGAGAGAAACGTGAATCAGCTGCCTCCTGCATGCCCCCTACTCAGGATTGAGTCAGCAATTCGGCATATGCCCAGACCTGGAATCGAACCGTGGCCTCCTGGTTCACAGGTTGACACTCAACCACTGAAGGACCACAGCTCTTGAGAGGGACTCACTTTAAGCATCACAGGGAAGGTAGTTTCTAATGTGACTTTCAAAACAGTACAGTTTTCTTCCTAAGCCTTTTGTCTCCTGCAAGATTAAAAATCCCACTCTTCCTTGCACAAATCCCAGTACAAAATTTTTATTATTTTTTAACATATTTTTATTTACTTCAGAGAGGAAGGAAGAGGGAGAGAGAGGTAGAAATATCAGTGAGAGAGAAATGTGGATCAGCTGCCTCCTGCATGCCCCCTACTCAGGATTGAGTCAGCAATTCGGCATATGCCCAGACCTGGAATCGAACCGTGGCCTCCTGGTTCACAGGTTGACACTCAACCACTGAAGGACCACAGCTGGGCCCAGTACAAAATTTTTAAATTTGAGGCACACTGTCTGGTGCCTATGCAACTTGCAAACCACGTAAGTTCCTACATTTTATTTCATTCATAACAATATATTTATTTTTAGGCCCTTAAAATATAAATATCAACAAAGATATAAAATGTCTCAAGAAATTAACCTACCTTTCTATCTCTGTAGAAATACAGCATGTTTCCCTCTATCTGGGGTTCAATTTAATGTATTCCATGATTAGACACATGTCCAGCAAGGCATTTGGTAGTCTAATGTTCACCTACATGGTGGCCCTGAGAATGCATCGCTGGCAGCATCGCTGACCGGCTCCAGCTGTGCCCTCTGGTTCTGCCACCTAGACAGGACCCTCCCTACAGGGCATGGTTTCCTCTGCCCTGGGGAATTTTAGCTCAAGGATTTCCCATTGAACTTGCAAAAACTGTCTTAGAACAGCACTGCAGCCCAAGACCTCTCTTCCTTCTGATCCCCTCTCATCTCAGGTCAGACATGCTTTCGATCTGATGGCTCTCCCAGCCTCATGCAGTGGCCTCCCCATTTCCCCTCCCAGGCATTTCACCCCATAAATCTCTCATACTCTGTTCCTATCTTGGCATCTGCTTCTCAGAGAACCTAGACCAGTGGTTCTCAACCTTGGCTGCACATTAGAATCACCTGGGAATCTTTTTAAAATGCTGATTTATGGGCCTCATCCTACGGAAATTCTGTTTCTTTGTTATGGGGGGGGGGCACAACATTAGTAACAAAGAAACAGAATTTCTGGAGGATGAGGCCCATAAATCAGGATTTTAAAAAGATTCCCAGGTGATTCTAATGTGCAGACAAGGTTGAGAACCACTGACCTAGACCAATGCGATTCGTAATAATGAACAGATCAACGTCAATAAATAACAACTATTCAATATGGAACAGGCACCACTAGGTTTATGTAAAAACCATATTGCTGTCCTTGTTTAGAAAAAAAAAATGTTCCTTTTTTGGGAAAAGAAGAAGCTCTGGATCAAATATTGTTACACATCATCTAGATGATACTTTCCACAATATACTGCTTCTGTTTCAGACATCTGAAGAAATTTCTAGCAACTTAAATAAAAAACATCTCACACATGTGGTCACTGATAAATAACAGACTGATGACCTATGAAAAAGCAGATCTGAAATCCTCAAACTAAAACCTGTTCATTGAAAGGAATGAATTTAGAATCCTCCCACATTCTCACTTCTCCGAGGGTGTAAGGAAGAGCGCCATATGCTCTTGCTAAGAGAAAGTCCTCTCTGAACACATTTTCATTGATCAACTTATTTAAACTTATGGGTAGATCAGATGCCAAACTTCCATTGCACAAGTTACTGAGATTCAGATCCGTGAAATCACTAATTTAAAATAAAACTCAGCTCAGCCAGTGTGGCTCGGTGGTTAAGTGTCAACCTATGAACCAGGAGGTCATGGTTCGATTCCTGGTCAGGGCACATGCCCAGGTAGCGGGCTCGATCCCCCATTGGGGGCATGCAGGAGGCAGCCAATCAATGATTCTCTCATCATTGATATTTCTATCTCTCTCACCCTCTCCCTTCCTCTCTGAAATCAATAAAATATATTTTAAAATAAAACTCAAATACCATCCATGATGCATTCCAATAAAAATATAACACAATCTAAGACAGGGGTGGGCAAACTTTTTGACTCGAGGGCCACAATGGGTTCTTAAACTGGACAGGAGGGCCGGAACAAAAGCATGGATGGAGTGTTTGTGTGAACTAATATAAATTCAAAGTAAACATCATTACATAAAAGGGTACGGTCTTTTTTTTTTTTTTTAGTTTTATTCATTTCAAACGGGCCGGATTCGGCCCGCGGGCCGTAATTTGCCCACGGCTGATCTAAGACATACTTGTTGGTTTGTAGCTGGAACTCATGCTTTCT